TTCCGAGCGGCCCAAAAAATACCCCTCGCGCGGAGGCCGATTTCCGGCACAAGGCGCAGCGGGCGATTGGCATTGCTACACTGTTATTAGATGTTTTGCTTATTGTGGACGGTGACCAAGATTCAGACATTATAACACTTTTATTTTCTCGTACTTTCTTCTAGAGGTTCATTTTTTTGTGTTGTATGTCTGCAGTTTTATGATTTTGTTAACCCTGTATTGTAAGCAAGCTGTTCCAAGCTGGGGGGATGAAATTTTTCGAGAGAGAGAAAAAGAGTTTCAATTCTTTAACAAATTGTTCCTATGTTGTGAATCTTTTTTGCCTTTTTTTCATCATTTAGAGTTTTAATTTGGACGAAATATTAAGTGATACCACAAATGAAGAAACTGCAGTACAAATGCTGGCTGACATATATTATGTCAATATTGGAGGCAAGACTAATCTAAAAAAAAACAGGACTACAGGATAATTTTTTAAGGGCTTTGTGATAAATGTTCTGTTGAATGTATTTTAGACTCCCGAGAGATGACTTAAAATGTTTGGTTGTTAGAAAGAAAATTTAGGTGGGTGGTTGGCGGGTGCTCTGGTGTGGTTTGCTCCTTCTTTCCTATCAAACATCTATCGTCCTTTTCTCTCCTCCTTTTTTGTGTATGTTACTCTCTTGTAACACGTCTATTCTTCGGCACTTATATGACCTTATTGTGTTGCAAGTGCCGTAAAATGCTTACTAAAACTAAAGAAAATTTAGTGACATTTTGATGTACTGGTAGTTTTCAAAACTTTTTGTGTTGGTTTTTAATAGTGGCAACTCAGTGTGCTTTATATTTTTTGTTAGTTCCCTGTGCTTCTTGCGACTCAGTGGACTTTTTAGTTTCTCATGCCCGGTACAAGGAGTTATTCCCTCCACTGTCACCAGCTTGCTTTGTATGATGTAGAAGTGAAGATGTGAAGTTTTGCCGACCCCCCCCAGGGCGGTGCCACTGACTGAAGTGTCTTTAGGCCATTCCCAAAGGGGGGACATTTCTGACATCATTTCTCGTTCATGCACGGTAGAACTGTAAATAGGCTGATTCATCATGTCAAGCTCATAACTGTGCCTAATATGCAACAGGCAACTGCTGCTTTTTCTTTCCTAATCCTTACTATTGTCATTTTCCTCTACTTCTTTTGTTTGTTTGTTACACTTTCATGACCTGCTATTTCCGGAGTGCCTTGATAGTCGAAGCAGACTTTGTGCTGTTGAAGCTAGAGTGGTGAGCAGAGTGTCTGGTTCCCTGTAAAGACTTCTCTGATGACACCCATCCCTTGGCGCTCATATGACCGTATGCAGTTGCGAGCGCCTTAAAACCCTCTACTAAAACTAAACTAAAAGTTTTGCCTCTTTTTGTCCCTCAGGGCACAGCTGGCCCGCATGAGACAAGAGAGGGAAGAGTCTGACCGGCTCAGGAAAGACCTGGAGGAGAAGGTGCGAATCATGGAGGAAGAACAGAAGCAGAGGATGAAAGGTGGGATCTCTTTCTGTGGAGGTTTTGTTGTTTGTATTCTGGTTCGGTGATGATGGGTGGTTGGAAGGAGTGGTGGGTTTTACTTTATTTTCCTTTCGCTGTTTCCGTTTTACTTTTTCGCTACACCAAGTGACCATTATTGCATTGTTGTACTTCTCTTTGCTCAAACTCTCGTTCTTCTGTCAAGTTATAACTGTTCGTGAGTGGTTGGCAGGTGCTCTGGTATTATTTGCTCCTTCTTTCCTATCAAACATCTATCGTCCTTATCTCTCCTCCTTTTTTGTGTATGTTACTCTCTAGTAACACATCTTTTCTTCAGCATATATATGACCTTACTGTGTTGTCGGAGCCGTAAAACTCTTCTAAATCTAAACTATAACTGTCCGTTTGTAGTGACAGCATTGACAGTGCATTTGTGTGTGCTCTAAAAGTTTTTGCTTTACTTTAGAACAAAGCTCTGGTCAGTTTCACATTGATTTTGTGGGTGGTCTAAGGAAACAAATAATTTCATAATTTTTCTCTCTGGCTCTGGTGTTTGTTTCTTGTTTTTACTTGCTCTAAATGATGTTAGTCATGTCAGTGTGCTCCTCTTACTTATAACAAAAACCCTTCACAAACAATACCATTTGATTTTGTAATATTAGAAAAAGATTTGAAAATGTTTTCCTTTAATTGTTGTACCTTATGATGAGGGGTATAAGATATCGTAGGCAGGTTGCTAGGGTTTACACATGATTATTCGAGATTAATGCGGCCTACTTTTGTATTTTTTTCTACTCGTTGGCCCAGGAGTAAGTCCGGGGTGGGTGGTTGGCGGGCGCTCTGGTGTGGTTTGCTTCTTCTTTCCTATCGAACATCTATCGTCTTAATCTCCCCTCATTCTTTTTTTGTGTCTGTTACTCTCTTGTAACACTTCGAATCTTCAGCACTTATATGACCTTATTGTGTTGCGTAAAACTCTTACTAAGTATATCCGCGTAAATGTTTTATGAGAAAGGTCAAGCTAATAGTGTGGTGGTTGTTTTGTTTGCTCAGAACTGGAAGAGCTGCAGGGCATGATTCGTGACCGAGACGAGAAGGTCGCCGAGCTCACCCGGCTCAGAGAGGAGCTCGACTCTGAGAGGAAGAGGGCCGAGGAGCTGCAGAGGGACATTGAGCGCTCACACGAGATGGAGCAGTCAGAACGGGAACGCCTGGTAAGTTTTTATAGTTTTAGTTGAGTTTTTACGGCGTTCGCAACTGCATTTGGTCATACGAAGAACAATTGGTAGAGACCTAAGTAACTTTGAATATCTGCAAAAGACAAACAAAGGCGGAAATAATGCTAAGTGACCATAGCCACCCATTGACCTGGGAATTTCAACTATTGACCCGCAGTAGACGATACATTTCCAAAAAAGCAAGAACAGACAGATATACACATTCATTCGTACCAACTGCAGTGAGGTTACTGAACACACAGTGCTACAAATGAAACAGAGAGAGAGAGAGAAGAATGTTTTACGGAGCGGGTTGTCCCAGCCCGTGAGACATGTACTTACTAAGCCTAATGTCCTATCTTGTTGTGCGTTTGCGTGAGTGTACCTTTAGTAACGTCTGCTGCCATTGTTAACGACCAAGACAAATATCTCCCGGCGAGATGATTAAGGATAGTCATTGTCATTGTCATGAGCACCAGCACCTGGTCAGTATCTCTGGTTTTGTGGCAGGGTTGTCAAAAGGGGGAGTAGTCGGAAGAACTTGGTCCTTAGCTTTTTGCCTTCAGATATTAAGACAGGTGGCAGAAGAACACTGCATCTTGTGGTTGCAAAGTTACTTTTACACTGTATGGCATCAGACAGATTAATGTTCTCAAGGTTTTAAAATTTTGTTGGAAGTGTGCTATGTCTGTTGATGTTTGAAGTCTCTTTGGGGGGGGGGGGGTGGATGGGCTGATTTTTTTTAGGTAAAGTTGCCAGGGAGGCATATGAATGGAAATAATGTTATTTTTGCTTTGATTTGTCTTCTTTGGAGGTTGTTTGTCTTTTGTGATATAACTTGGGGGGACAGGGGGGAAATAGATGTTTGTTTCCGTAACGAATGCCGAGACTAGTTGTTTCTCTAAAATAAGCAAATTCTGAGATTAGATGATTCTGTAAAAGTGGTGAATGGTGAGACTAGATGTATTGATTGATTATTCCCTTCCCCCCAGGCTGCCGAGCTGTCTGCCACCCAGGCCTCTTTGCAAGAGCGCCTGACGGAGATCGAGAGCAAGGAGGATGTGGTGTCGAGCCTGCACGAGGAGCTGGAGTCGGCCAAGCGCAGTGCGGAGGAGAAGGAGAACGAACTGAGCCGCGTCATGATCTCCAGCCAGCAGCGGGAACAGGAGCTGGAGGCCCAGCTGTTGGTGCGCTCGGAGATCAACGACCACCACGACGAGGGAGAGGAGAACGAGGGCGACGACAAAAAGGAGTTCGGTAAGCTTACGCCCCCTTCTCTTGTTCGTTCATTTCTTACGTCTTCCCGTGGGTTGGAGATAAGCTTTCGCCGTTCACTTGTTCTTTCATTTCTTGTGTCTTTCCCTGGACTGGCATTCACTGCTACTTTCATTTCTTGCGTCTTTCCCTGGATTGGAGATAATAAGCTTTCGCCATTCACTGGTTCTTTCATTTCTTGTGTCAACCCGGAGTGTTGTATGTTTCAGCAGTGTTACTCTAAGAATGGCAGCACTTCTTCAGTGTCCTCTGCCTCATCTTGTAAATAGTGGGTGGTTGGAGGAGCCACTGGTAGGTCCTACGTCTCTTCTTGCTTTTTCTTCTATTGTCTGTTCGTGGTTGGTTGGTGGGTGCTCTGGCGTGGTTTGCTCTTTCTTTCCTATCAAACATCTATCGTCCTTATCTCACCTCCTCCTTTTTTGTGTATGTTACTGTCTTGTAACACATTATTCTTCGGCACTTATATGACCTTATTGTGTTGCAAGTGCCGTAAAACAATTAGGGGGGAAAAAATGATCTTTTCTGCCAAACGTTTTTCCTGCTCTAAATGGGTGAGGAGGTTTCTAAGTCCAAAATAAACATCTTCTACTAGTGCTCAAGCTTGCAATCACTGCTCCCGTGAGTGATTTGTTTGTATGTCCCTTTGGTGCTAAACATGCGTGTGTCTCCTTTTGGTGTTGCAGACGCTGACTTGACCGTGCATGAGGACGCTCATTTGATGCCTCGCCCAGAGGAGGATCGTGAGACACAGCAGAGCAAGGACAAGAGGCTCCAGGAGCAGCTCAGAGTGAGTTTTCTAACAGTTGCTCCAACATCTCAAACATTCCATCATCCAGACACTTGCATTCTGAATCTCTTATACTTTTTTACACAGTTTTACTCTCTCATGAGCTCTTCAAAAGTCATTTTTCTCTGACTACTCTTACTCTCTAGCATAAATTTTCAAATGAGTCTACACTTTCATCCCTTCAAAACACACACACACACTCACACACTCTTTCATCTTCAAAACATTTGCTCACTCTTGCATACAGACCACACTGTCTTACTTTGGAATATGCAGCTCCCTCTCATATTCAAAACAGTTGCGCACTTGCCACACTGTCACAGCATTCACGGACACCTGCAGACACTTACAAACCTTGTTGCAACTCTTTGCATTTTCCTTATTTTTTTAATTAGAAAATAAAATTTGGTTTAGGCATGAAAAAAAAAAGATTCTGCAGTAGCGATATGGTTGATATTGAGGGAAATGAAAATTCAGGGTCTACTGGTAGGTCCTACTTCTTTTCTTTTCGCGGATGTTCACGCACTAAAATCATCATGACCGTTATCATTTCGAAGTACTTCTCTTTACTCAAACCAACCGGTCTGTCTATGTGTGTGGGGGTTGTCTGACCTTGTGCTGAGCAGAGTAAGCCTGATTCCCAGTGTAGACTTCTCTGTTGACTTCCACCCTTTGGCACTCATATGACCTTATGCAGTTGCGAGCACCGTAAAACCTAACTAAAAACAACAATGACCTTATGTTTCCTCACCACCCACAGGCCCTGAAGGAGGACCTTGACCTTGAAAAGACCAAGTCGACGGCCGTCGACCTGTTGCACCAGGAGAACCAGCGCCAGGGACGCGACAAGTACAAGACGTTGAAACAGATTCGCCAGGGCAATACCAAGCAGAGAGTGGATGAGTTTGAGTGCATGTAAACACCACAGGACACATATATACACATTAACATACACAACATATAGGGGTGTTCAGTGGTTGACTCTGGGGGCACAGCCTTTGAAAGGGGTGGGGAGGGGAGGGGGTGGGGGGATACTGGGTTGGTAGTCATCTCTAGCCTAGGCACATCATATGTAAGCATTTACTACCTTGGGTGTGAGAGCGTGCGTGCGTCTGTGTGTGTGTGGGTGAGTGCGAGTGTGTGGCTGGACCATTGAGCTGGTGTTATTGTCTATGGGTTTTTGTCACCCCCTTTACCTTCAAGTCCTATGAATTTGAATATGATTGGTTTTGTTTTGTTTAGGGATTTTGTCATTTAGTTTATTTCAATTTCTGTCTCTTTTTTTTTCTTTTTTTTTTTTTTTGGTCCCCCAGTACCCCCAAGTCCGTTTCTGTTTGGACAAGTCTTAGGATTTTGCCCTAAGTACTCGTGTAAAATAATGGCTGCAGCTGTATGGTCTCCTGAGAACTGTTAGTGTCAGTTTGTCTGAAAGTGGACCCAGCTCATGGTCATAGCTAATTATATCAACCGTAGCTTGCTGGAGTGTTACCCGACCTTTGTATTTCGCTTGTTATCCTCAATTATTTGCTCTGATGATGATGATGATGATGATGATGTGAGTGGAAGCTGGTGACTGCATTGTTTTCAACCTGGGGGTTCTTTTTGATTTATCACGTTTGTATATTGATCTTTTTTCTTTTTTTTTCAATATATGAGTTGTGTTTGTTGTCATTTTAATTTAGTTACACGATTGGTACTCGGATTCCTTCTGTTTGTGGTGCTTGTGTGTGTGTGGCCAGCAGTGAGAGTCTTCACCAGTGTGTGTGTGAGTGTATATGTGTGTGTGGGAGTGAGAGCGAGGAATGGTGATTGTGGGTGTACTGTGTGTTGTGTTGCGGGTCTTGACTAGGATGAAAAAAAGAAGCAGGGGTGGACTGATTGCCCTGCTGCTGAACCTCTCTGGCTTCAGGGGTTGCCTGCAGGAAATGTGTAAAATTGTGGTCATGACTTACATCTGCAGTTGTCATTGTTAGTCTGAACATGTTGTTTGAAGGGGGAAGGGAGGGTGTGTGTGGGGTGTAGCAGGAGACAGTGTGCCACGTGCTGTCAAAAGGACTGAGACTAAAGGACAGTTGCAGGGGGGGGGAGTCTTGAGCATTGGAGGAGTTATGGATGAGGCCGACTGGCGGAGCCACGTAGCTGTTAATCTGTGGTGGTGGTGGTGGGTGAGGTACTGCGACGGATGGATGTATGTGGTACAGGGTAACCACCTCTCATACCCCTCTCTTTCACACCCCTCTCCTCCCCCCTGCCTCTTGGCCTCCATAACCTGCTGTGGAGAGGTCTGGCCGGGTTATCGGGGGCGGTGTTGACAACCTGTTTGACGATCTTTCATGTACAGAGTGGCTTCTGGCCAGTTTGTTACTGCATTGGGTGGTATTTTTTATTATTTTTTTTTACCCCCTTTTTTCCATTTTTTCCCCCCCTTCCCTGGAGGGGAACGGGCTTAGTCTGTGTGTGGACCGTTTCAGGGTGTTGGCTGTTGCTTCCAATGTAGCACACAGTTTTGTTTTGTGTGACGATGTGATGTATGTGAAGTCTCTCGTCATCATTCATGGTGTCTCGATCATTCCCAGCTGTAGTTTCTGTAGTGCTTGCCACCAGTGTGTAGGCGCGGGAGTGCTGGCCGGGGAGGCGGAGGGAGGGGAAGAGAGTTTCGCTGCTCGAGCAGATGAACGACCTTCGTTTCTATTCATCTGAGTGGTTGTCGGGCTAGCTAACTGGAACTGTGGTGTTAAGTTTGTCGATACGACCACGTAGCTGGATGAGCGAGCGAGCCTCGAGGACGGGCTACACCCTGGTGCTCTCTTATTGTATGGGGGATGGGTGGGTGTTACGATCAATTTGTGTACCTGCAACAAGTCTTTATGTAACTCTGTAGACTGCGGAAAGAAGAGCCTGTCGTCTATGCCTTTCCAGTGCTCTTGTTTTTGTGTCGATGCACTGGCTTGTTTTTTTCAGTTTGTTTTTTTGTTGTTTTTTTAAATGTTTGTGTGTGTACGTCTGTGAGCAACTTGTTTACATCTTCAGCTTGCTTGTCCTTCCTATGCTGAGACTTGCCATTATAGTAGTAGTGTTATGTCCCACTAAATGTGTGTGTGGGGAGGGGGGGGGAAGAACTGTGGTCACGTGTGGCTCCCTGCCTCTGGTCACGTGTGGCTCCCTGCCTCTGGCCACCAGCCCACCCGCCCACCTCTGCTGCCTTTGTGTATTCCTATGTTGATTGGTTTTGTACAGCGTGTTGTGGCAGCCTGTGTGGACTGATGGGGACTTGTGTTGGGTCGGCTTGTTGTTGCTGGGCTTTGTCACTTTTGTGTGTCGCTTTGTGCGTCACGCAATGTGTCACCTTGTGTGTCACGCAGAGATTTGATACACATCACGCAGAGATTTGATACACATCACGTGGAGATGTGTCGGTTTGTGCGTCACTCCCAAATGTCATCAGTTGGAGGGGGCCCTTGGCAATCCTCTCACTCCGCAGATACCGGCAACGTGAACTTTTTGTTGTCGTGAGATGAGATGTAAAGAAGTGTTTTCAGCAGTCCTACCTACATACCTACCTCACAAACCCCCCCCTCCCCCCTCGGGTAGATTGGTTCATAAGTCTGGGGGCTTTTGTGAAAGCTGCTAGCAGCAGCAGACATTGGCACAATAGGGTGTATGTATGCCTCCAACACGGAGGAGCATTCTCTACTAAGAGGACTCTGTTGTCCTACCGCAGGGGCCTGAGTGGGTGAGCGAGTGAGCGGTGCTACTGCTACTACACAGCGGTGGGTGAGGGGGGAGTTAGAGCGCAGCAGTAGGTTGTGATGGCAACATGCACGCACGCACTACCCTGAGGTGGGTCTGTGTCTGTGTGCCTGTCTTCCTCTGCCCTCGATGCATTCCATAGCCTGGAAGTAAGTTTTGTAGCCATGGTGGGCCGCGGGTCCTCCCGTATTGTGTTGTAGCCAGTGCGGGCCGCCGGTGGGCTGACTTACTGACCAACCGACCCGTGTGGCTGCCGTCTTCTGGCCTGCTGGCCGGCCCGTATGGGACCCTGTCTCTAGCTGTGACATCTTAGTCTTTCTTGTATGGCATCAATCACAAGTGTACTCATCACCTTGTTTTTTTTGTCTTTGGGAAGTTTTGTTTGTTTGCTTTTTGTGTTATTCTATTTTTTTTCCAAACAAAATTTTAATTACCTGGTTTGATAATTTTGCATTATATATATTATAATTTATCGACCAATATGGGGAGTCACTGCAATTTTGTTAAACTCTGTTTAAGGCATGCAACATATCAATGTCTTCTCATCTGCTCTTCTTTATCTCATCGCTACTTTCTCTCTCTATCTGCTCTTCTTTATCTCATGGCTACTTTCTCTCTCTATCTGCTCTTCTCTCTGGGACTTGCTGTGTTGTTTGTCTTTGTCCAATCAATGAAAACAGAAACAATGTTATCAAGAAGTTTCATCAATGTATTTTCTACTTAAAATAGTCTTGAAATAAAACAATATTTATCTTCCATCATGTGTTTTCTTTTGGTGTATTCTGTGACTGGTCATTGTGTTGTGCTTGATGGTTTTTTTTCTCTCCCTGCCTCCTGCCTAGCCCCAAGTGCTTAAGAGGACCAGACAGTTGTTCAGTGCTGAGAGGGAAGCTACAAATTTCTCTCTCTCATTTCTCCACAGATTGTCTCGTGTTTGTCTGTTTTTATCTCTCT